GGCTGAGTTTGGAAGCAGAGAGAGCAGGGGACACTGCCCCCCTAGTCTTTTAAAAGAAGAATGAACAGTTCTTCCCTGTTCATGTTTTTGTTTCTTCAACAGGGAAGAGTGGGCAGGTCTAAGACAAACATGCTGAGCACATTCTGTCAGGAAGGACAGACAGGGAAAAAAGGGAGGAGGGGTTGCCTTGTATATTAAAAATGTACACACTTGGACTGAAGTGGAGATGAACGTAGGAGATAGCTGTGTAGAGAGTCTCTGGGTTAAGCTAAAAGGGGTAAAAAACGAGGGTGATATCATGCTAGGAGTCTACTACAGGCCACCTAGCCAGGTGGAAGAGGTGGATGAGGCCTTTTTTAAACAATTAACAAAACTATCCAAAGCCCAAGATTTGGTGGTGATGGGGGACTTCAACTATCCAGACATATGTTGGGAAACTAACACAGCGAGGCACAGGCTATCCAATAAGTTTCTGGACTGCATTGGAGACAACTTTCTGTTTCAGAAGGTTGAAAAAGCTACCAGAGGAGAAGCTGTTCTGGATTTGGTTTTAACAAATAGGGAGGAACTAGTTGAGAACTTGAAAGTGGAAGACAGTATAGGGGACAGTGATCATGAAATAATAGAGTTCATGATCTTAAGGAAAGGTAGAAGGGAGACCAGCACAATTGAGGTTATGGATTTCAGGAAGGCAGATTTTGATAAGCTCAGAGAACTTGTAGGTAAGGTCCCATGGGAAGCAAGACTGAAGGGAAAAACAACTGAGGAGAGTTGGAAGTATTTCAAAGGGACGTTGTTAAGGGCCCAAAAGCAAACAATTCCGCTGTGTAGGAAAGATAGAAAATATGGCAAAAGACCAGCTTGGCTTAACAAGGAGATCTTGCATGATCTCAAAATAAAAAAGGAGTCATATAAAAAATGGAAACTAGGACAACTAACAAAGGATGAATATAGGCAAGCAACACGGGAATGCAGGGGCAAGATTAGAAAGGCAAAGGCACAAAATGAGATCAAACTAGCTACAGGCATAAAGGGAAACAAGAAGACCTTTTATAAATACATTAAAAGCAAGAGGAAGACCAAGGACAGGGTAGGCCCACTGCTTAGTGAGGAGGGAGAAGCAGTAACAGGGAACTTGGAAATGGCGGAGATGCTCAATGACTTCTTTGTTTCGGTCTTCACCGAGAAGTCTGGAGGTGTGCCTAACGTAGTGAATACAAGCAGAGAGAGGGTAAGTTTAGAAGATAGGATACACAAAGAACAAGTTAAAAATCACTTAGGAAAGTTAGATGTCAGCAAGTCACCAGGTCCTGATGAAATGCATCCCAGGATACTCAAGGAGCTGATAGAGGAGGTATCTGAGCCTTTAGCTATGATCTTTGAAAAATCATGGCAGACAGGGGAGATTCCAGAAGACTGGAAAAGGGCAAATATTGTGCCCATCTATAAAAAGGGGAATAAGAACAACCCAGGAAATTATAGACCGGTCAGTTTAACGTCTGTCCCAGGGAAGATAATGGAGCAGGTAATTAAGGAAATCATATGCAAACACTTGGAAGGTAATAAAGTGATAGGGAATAGCCAGCATGGGTTTGTGAAGAACAAGTCATGCCAAACTAATCTGATAGCTTTCTTTGATAGGATAACGAGCCTTGTGGATAAGGGAGAAGCGGTGGATGTCATATACCTAGACTTTAGTAAGGCATTTGATACGGTCTCGCATGATATTCTTATTGATAAACTAGGCAAATATAACTTAGATAGGGCCACGATAAGGTGGGTGCATAATTGGCTGGATAACCGTAGTCAGAGAGTTGTTGTTAACGGTTCTAAATCCTGCTGGAAAGGGATAACAAGTGGAGTTCCTCAAGGGTCTGTTTTGGGACCCGTACTGTTCAATATCTTCATCAATGATGTAGATATTGGGATAGAGAGTACTCTTATTAAGTTTGCAGATGATACCAAACTGGGTGGGGTTGCGACTTCTTTGGAGGATAGGGACATAATTCAAAATGACCTTAGCAAGTTAGAGAAATGGTCAGAGGTAAACAGGATGAGGTTTAATAAGGAGAAATGCAAAGTGCTCCACTTAGGAAGGAACAATCAGTTCCATACATACAAGATGGGAAGCGACTGTCTAGGAAGGAGCATGGCGGAAAGGGATCTAGGGGTCATAGTGGACCACAAGTTGAATATGAGTCAACAGTGTGATGCTGTTGCAAAAAAAGCAAATATGATTCTAGGTTGTATCAACAGGTGTGTTGTAAGCAAAACTCGTGAAGTCATTCTGCCGCTCTATTCTGCACTAGTTAGGCCTCAGCTGGAGTACTGTGTCCAGTTCTGGGCGCCACATTTCAAGAAAGATGTGGAGAAATTGGAAAGGGTACAGAGAAGCGTGACAAGAATGATTAAAGGTCTAGAGAAGCCTATGAAGCCAGGCTTCATGAACTGGGCTTGTTTAGTTTGGAAAAAAGAAGATTAAGGGGGGACATGATAGCGGTTTTCAAATATCTAAAAGGGTGTCACAAGGAGGAAGGTGAAAATTTGTTCCTCTTGGTTTCTGAGGACAGGACATGGAGTAATGGGCTTAAAGTGCAGCAGGGGAGGTTTAGATTGGACATTAGGAAAAAATTCCTAACTGTCAGGGTGGTCAAATATTGGAATAAATTGCCAAGGGAGGTGGTGGAATCTCCCTCTCTGGAGATATTTAAGAACAGGTTAGATAGACATCTGTCAGGGATGGTGTAGACGGAGCTTGATCCTGCCTTGAGGGCGGGGGGCTGGACTCGATGACCTCTCGAGGTCCCTTCCAGTCCTATTATTCTATGATTCTATGATTCTATGATTCTCATGAGCAGGCTGGGCGAGGGGACTGAGCCCTAGGCCTGGGGTGGGCAAGGTGCCCCACTTCCCAGGGAAAGCACTGAGAGCTGAAATCACAAGTGGCTGAGCCAGGTGGTGGAATCCCAGAAAACAGCCACACAGCTGGAAGGGCAGCAGCAGCGGAGAGTGATGGGCAGCAATAGATGCAGAAGTAAAGACTCTGGCACTTCCCAACGGACTCTGAGCGTAGAAGGGAGTGAAGGGGGGGCACATTAAAGAGGCATTTGTCTATTGGACTTTCACACTCCAAGACAGGAAATTTACGGCAAAGGTCACTGCCAGAGATTCTGGGAGGTGGGTGTTTATAAAGCCTCTCAAATCCACAGATAGCTGCCTTATGTCTGCACATATCTGTACCCACGGATGTGGATATCCACAGACCATTTCTGCAGATCACGGATCAGATGCAGATACGAATTGTGTATCTAGAGCCCAGCAAACCAGCAGATCTCAGATTATTTCTGCATCTCTCCAGTCAGATGGAGATATACATTTTGTACCCAGGCAGTGTTCTAGGTGCTTATTGCTGTGTGTGTAATTTTGAATAATTGTGTTTGTTTTGTCCCAAATTAAGATAATGTTCCCGCTCCTCTTAGCAGAAGTTGTACCTTGTTATATTGAGGCTCAGTGCTTACCAGTGGGGAAGCAGTGCCCCTCAGAGGTACCATGGCTGATGATTAGTTTCCCCAGGTCTCTGGATTGGGGCTCTAGTTGGTTTAGTTTTGCAATATTAAGAGGAACGCCAAGGTATCAAATCAGGCCCTTGTGGCTACTGACTCCACCTGGCAGCAGAGTTAGATCCCTGTGACTAGAAAATGGTCGCCACAGACTCAGCTTCTTTGCTAGGCACACACTGGGTGCTTTATCTGCTAATGCTCGCTCCCAGGGCTCCCTGAAACAAGGCTGCTCCCAGGCAGCCCAGCGGAGATGGCCTTGCTTTCTCTTACCTGGAACGCCGTCTGGCTGTTGTAGTTACGAATCTCTTTGCTTGCACCGCGGAAGAGGAGGACCCGGGCACAGCTCTCCTAGGAGTAGAAAACCAGAGAAGAAAGAAGGAAATCTGTCAGTGCTGACATGACAGACGAGGTGACCTTGGTCCACTCCGGAGTGGAGAGCTCCCTATTGCAAGGGAGAGAAATAAAGTCAAAATGTCAGAGTTCACGGCTACAGCCTCCGATCAAGCCTCTCCAGAGCCCATCACGGCTCAGGGGACCTGCCCTTCTGCCCCCACTGCCCAGACAAGCTCCACCTCCGCACATACCTGCTTAGCACGAGGGGAGCTCTGTAGCGGAGGTGCCCCCAATACACACTGTGCCTGGGGGGCTGTTACCCATCATTTGAACATCCCTGTGTGGCCTAGTGGGGTGCTGTACACTCTTGTGGCCCTGGATGCATTCTGGTTTGGCATTCGCTGGTTGCTGTGCTGTGCTGTGGGTGACCCCTACTGGCCTGTGCTGGTCTGCAGAGACGCTGGTGTGTCTGTGTGCAGGGCCCAGCGGGGGGCACATAGGTATGGCCCAGCTGCCTGACACCTGGGCTAGGGGTGGAATCTGAACAAAGCCAGGGGTGTGGCTGCCTGGGGGCTGAAGGACCAGTTGCTGGGGGTTGGGGCAGTCTTAGCAGAAGGAAGCATGAGGAGGGCAGACTAAGTCCGGGACAGGGGGCTTCAGGGGCCTGTGAACCCATTTCCCCAAGAGGACTAGGCTGTCTGCCTGGCTCCTACATCAACATGAGCCTGTGCTGCGCCGCATCTCTGAGAAGCAAGAAACCTTCTATTCTACGGCCTGACAGAGTCACACATGTGGCTGCGGACGGGGGTGCAGGGTCAGGGGCTCCCCGACGCGACGTCACACCCTATCTAGCTCTTTGGGGCGCCATGCTTCTCTCATCACACAGCACAGTTTAGGGGATACTGTGGTGTTGAAACCAATGACCTTCCATCCCTCCTCTAAAGGCTTCTAGCCTCTGGGGACAGTCCCAGCACCGAACAGTCTCCCAGCTATAGAATTAATGCAGCTGCTGCCCCACAAGCCATAACCCATCTGTGATGCAACACTGTTTAATATGAAATAAACACAGCACGGGCCTGGGGCCTTTCAGTCACCTCTGCTAAAGGAACCCACATGTCCTTTTAAGATATAAACAGGCAAGAGAAGGAACAGAGTCTGGGGAAACCCAATTCTAAACCTACACAGCCCAGAAAAATCACCAGGGAAGAAGATCCTGATGGAAGAGCTACTAAGCGCCATCTGTATGCAAGAGAAACTGAGACTCACACAGGGCTCTCATCAGAGACTCACACGGGGCTCTCACCAGAGAAACAGAGACTCGCACAGGGCTCTCACTAGAGAAACAGAGACTCGCACGGGGCTCTCACCAGAGAAACAGAGACTCGCACGGGGCTCTCACCAGAGAAACAGAGACTCGCACGGGGCTCTCACCAGAGAAACAGAGACTCGCACGGGGCTCTCACCAGAGAAACAGAGACTCGCACGGGGCTCTCACCAGAGAAACAGAGACTCGCACGGGGCTCTCACCAGAGAAACAGAGACTCGCACGGGGCTCTCACCAGAGAAACAGAGACTCGCACGGGGCTCTCACCAGAGAAACAGAGACTCGCACGGGGCTCTCACCAGAGAAACAGAGACTCGCACGGGGCTCTCACCAGAGAAACAGAGACTCGCACGGGGCTCTCACCAGAGAAACAGAGACTCGCACGGGGCTCTCACCAGAGAAACAGAGACTCGCACGGGGCTCTCACCAGAGAAACAGAGACTCGCACGGGGCTCTCACCAGAGAAACAGAGACTCGCACGGGGCTCTCACCAGAGAAACAGAGACTCGCACGGGGCTCTCACCAGAGAAACAGAGACTCGCACAGAGCTCTCACCATACTCCTGATTTCTCTTGTGCTGATCTCAGTTTCCAAGACAGGACATGGGGCAGAAGAGTCTTGCAGGCTGCCCGGTTTCATCTTATTTAAAACTTCAAATATTGGTCAAAAGTTCTTGAGGGCACTGTCCTGAGAACAGGGCACAGCTGCTGTGGTTGAGTAACCAAACAGTAACCCCACCCCCACCCCCACCCCCAGCTTTGCATTTAAAATATTTTGGGAACTGGCATGCAGGCTTGGTCCCAGCTCATGCCAGCTACCCCCACTGTAGCTCCACATTTCATAGTCTACTCCCTATTCTTGAAAGACTTAAACAACAAATAGTCCTAGAACCCGTTTATTACTCACTAAGAGCCTCCCATGGCCTACGTCAATCATCTCAAAACAGCCTAGAAAAACTGTTGCTTGCCTCTCAGAACGGCTGTTTTCCGGATGTGTTGCTCATGCCCACTCCAGCCAGACTGCAGACATGTTTCTTGGAAGGTTTTTGTCTCGTGGTGTCTGTCTGGTTGGCTGTGGAGCCCCCTGGAGTGGCACCTTCATGACCGTGTCTGCACGTCCCTGCCAACCCACTTCTTGCTCGGTTCCTCCTTGTGGGAATACTCCACCAGAGCAGAGACAGGCAGGATTTGGAATGGACACGAGCTACACACCTCAAAGAACATGGGAGCAGCCACGCTGGGTCAGACCGTTCCCAAGAGCACTTATAAATAGGTTGAATAGGGTGGGTCCCAGAGCGGACCTGGGGGACACCACTAGTTCCTGCTCTCCATTTTGAAAACTATCTAACCATGGAGCTTCCATGCCATGAGATGGAGGGACACCAGGCTGGGCTCTCGTGGGCTTGTGCGATGAGGTCTGGAAACGGGGAGGGCTACGGGCCTCCACTGAGGTCCAACAGCCTGGTGAACCAGTGCTACAAGACTTCACAGAGCCTTGTCCTGGTGTACTTTGAGGAGAACCCTTGCACGAGAGGGAATGGCGGGAATTCCCAAAGTAGGCGATTCATCCGCAACAGGTGAAACGCGTCCGTGAGGGACCTTGGCTATGGTTCAGGAAGGAGCAAACCGATGAGTCTTCCTGTTGCTCCGTGTCGCGAATGGGTCCAAGTGGGGAATGCCCCACTTCTATAAGATGACAGCCACTCTGAGGGACCATTCGTGCCTGTTGAATGATCAGCTAAGCCGCCTGTTCGCAATGTGTGATACAAAAGTCCCACAGCTCGAGGGCTTCCCGGCACCACCCTGCTTCTTTACAGAGAACATCGCTAGGGTTGGTCCATCAGCACCAACGCACACTGGGGTGCAGATGAACTTGGAACATCTGGCACGCCAGACAGACTGCCCTCAGCCTTCTGACATTAATATGCAGCAAGAGTTCTGCTTGGGGACACATGCCCTGTGTCCTGATGATGCCAATGTGAGCTACTCATCCAAAAGCCCAGGTATCCACAGCTAACTGCATGGGGAGTTGTGGCTTGACAAACATGTTCCACCTGTGCCTGCAACCACCAACCAAGAGAGTCTAGAATTGGAGGGGGGGGTAACTACTCTGTTCAGCAAGTCCCATCTGGGCCTGTACACCTGTGCCAGCAAGGGTAGGGAAGGATGGAGCTGCAAGCTGGAATGCCGGACCACAAGTGCATGCCACCATATGCCCAGCAGTTTAATGTAACTTCTGGTGACGGCTGTGGAGAATTGGCAAAGGCTGTCAATGTTGTTCCTGAGGGCTTGGAAGCAGGGCATGGGCAGGGATGGTATAAAAACGTACGATCGGCCAGACTGGGCCAGAGAAAAGGTCCATCCAGCCGAGGGTCCTGTCTGCTGACAGTAGCCAATGCCAGATGCCCCAGAGGGAGGGAACAGAGCAGGGAACCTTCAAGTGACGCCCCTCCTGTCACCCATTTCCAGACAAATAAAGGTTAGGGACACCATTCCCACCCTCGTGGCTAATACCCATTGATGGACCTAACCTCCATGAATTTATCTAGTTCCTTTTTGAACCCTGTTGAAGTCCTGGTCTTCACATCCTCTGGCAAGGAGTTCCACAGGTTGACACTGCGCTGCATGAAGAAAAACTTTCTTTTGTTTGTTTTAAACCCGCTGCCTATTCATTTCACTGGGTGACCACCAGTTCTTGTGTTTTGGGAACAAGTACACATTTCCTTAGTCACTTTTTCCACACCAGTCATGACTTTAGAGGCCTTTTCTCTCCTCTTTTCTAAGCTGAAAAGTCCAAGTCTTTTTAATCTCTCTTCATCTGGGACCCTTCTTTAACCTATTCGAAGACCAATATCTCCTTTTTGAGATGAGGTGACCACCTCTGTACGCACTATTCCAGATGTGGGCACACCATGGATTCAGAGAGAGGCAATAAGGTATTCTCTGTCTTATTCTCCATCCCTTTTTAATGCTCCTAACATCCTGTTTGCTCGTTTCACTGCTGCTGCACACGGAGGGGACGTCTTCAGAGAACTCTCCACAAGGACGCCAAGACCTCTCTCTGGAGTAGCTGTAGGTAAAGGACATGAGCAGCTGTGTGTGTAGCTCACCTGCGTGGAGTCCAGGAGAGCACTCATGAACTGAGCTGGCATGAGAGTGGACTTGGGCACTTCAGCACCAGTAAGGGCCACACTTTCCTCTACTTGTTTTTGCAGTGTAGCCCTGATGGGCCAGTCTACCAGGTATGGGAAAGGACTCCCCATTTACAGAGGAAGGCTGCTGTAACTGCCAGGCATTTTGTGACTACCCAAGGGGCTGCTGAGAGCCCAAATGGAAGCAGCAGGAACTGGGCACCAATCACAAGCCGGATAAATCATCTGTGGGCTGCATAATGGCTATATGGAAGCATATGTCCTTCAAGCTAAGAGCAGCACAGCACTCCCCAGTTTCCAGGGAAGGAATCAGGGAGATCCGGGTGACCATGTGAAACTTTGCTTTCTTTGTGGATGAGTTGAGGTTTTACAGATCTAGGATGGTCTGATCCTGCCCTTGGCCGTGGGGATCATAGAATCACAGAATCATAGGACTGGAAGGGACCTCGAGAGGTCATCGAGTCCAGCCCCCCGCCCTCAAGGCAGGACCAAGCTCCGTCTACACCATCCCTGACAGATGTCTATCTAACCTGTTCTTAA